GAGGAGAGCATCACTAGAGCTAAATATGCCCCTTTATACAGGTACAAAAAGGTTAGAAAAAGTTTGTTAGTGCCTACTAAATCACTGTAGTATCATAGGTGATAAAAATTTACAAGAAGCCCAAACTGTTAAATAGTACATTTAAAGATTCTGTCCAAGTGAACCACTATTTCCTCAAACTGCTACAGGTTTAAAGTTCAGGCACATAGTAGTACCTGCAGAGTACCTGCAGCAGCATTCCAGTGTACTGTTGTTGTGTTGCGCCACCCTCAGAGGAGCTGCTTGATTTGTTTGGGACTTCTTGCCCTATTCTGGTAATGACCCATCTTGACATCCAAATAGTATTATTATTATTATTATTATTATTAATAATAATAATAATAATAATAATAATATAATTTATTTTTATTATTAAATAACATTACATAATATTAAATAATATTAAATTATTATTATTATTATATAACACTGATATGTCTGGAATTGTTGAAATGTACTTTATTGAACAGGCAAAAGCCATAAAAAGTAAGGGTGTGTTAGACAGCTGAATAACAGCAGGGTGAATACTGTTTGATATGTGCTACAGATTACTAAGATAATGCTATTCGATACCCACAGCCACCTATGAAATAACTGGCCCTGAACACACTAGGCTGGCATAGGGGACCAACACTAACCCGTAAAGCAGTACAAGGAGAACATCAAATACGGCAGTGCAAATAACTGTACAAACAGTAAGATTACAGAAACAAATTATATAGAGATAATAGGACCATTTAACACAGTATGAGTAACAGGCACAGTAATGTTCAGGTGAATAGCAACTGTAAGGCCTATATAGAAAGCAAAACACCATGACTAGACCACTGGTCAGTAGGAATACAGCTACAGTCCTGCCAGTGTTGGGGTCCTTAACTAATGGTGGAGCATTCACTTTAAACAGAGAGAGAGGGCAGGGCTGTGTAACGGACAGGTAGACCTAGTGGCAGGGTAACGCACTGACTGATGACAACCACCACCAACAGACCGAAGTCCCTCAGGGCGCGGAGTCTAAGTCCCAGGCTGCCCTTCACCAGGGCCCCTGATGGTGGAGATAGACTTGACGCAGCCAGGAACCAGGTCGCAGCTCCCGAGACACCCCGGCTGCGGTAATGGCCGCCGCCAATGGTGTGAGCTGGTAGGAATGACAATAGCGTAGTCAGGCAGGCCGGGTTGACAACAACGGGACAAAACGGTACAGAACAGTAGACAAGAATCACAGGTCACGGGCCGGGTTCAGCAACGGAAGGTCAGATCAAAGGAAAACACAGAGAATGGTCTAGTCACAAGCCGAGTCAGATTCCAGGAGAGTCATGAGAGTATACACAGAGCTGTAGCAACACAAAGACACAAGACACAAGTGCAAAGAGCATGTGCGGATCACAGGCTTATATGTACTCAGCCACACCCCTCTGGGGGATGGACCTCAGAGACCTGAAGGCATAAAAGACTCCCACCATGCTCTGCAGAAAACCAAGATGGACGCCAGTACATGAAGCTGCACAAACTCTGGGAAAAGGTAGGACCTTGACAGATTTGTAATCCACTGGGAGTATTTAAAGCGATATTAGTTTTTTTTAATTTCATGGAGGAATTATCATGATAGAGAAAACTGAGGGTGAATATATGGGGAGATGTTGGTGAAGGAAGAAGAACTCTGTAGTGGAACAAGTAATCTGGCTCTGCCAGGCTAGATTCTGCAATTACTGCAAAAGCCAGGAAGCTAATAGGTGTCAGTTCACAAAGCCCCATTAGTTATTGCACATGTGCTTGATATTTCAAATAATGTACGGTAATAAAAATCGTACATGAATTATGTTTTTGTAGATTAACACAGACTGTTGGTTTCATTATTGGAGACCAGAAAAGAAACTGCGCCAATGCTTAAACTGGGATCTCTTTTTGTTAGCAGACTTTATTTAATAGACAAGATTTCCATAGCAACTGATCAGAAATCTTTTTTTTTATTATTATTCTGGGCATAGAAGTCATTTATTCTAAATATCAACACACAAAAATAAGTACAAAATGAATACCATCTCCAGATAATGTACCACCAAACCAAAGCTCAATACAAAAACCTTGCCACTTCCTTATTAACCTTTACTTTAGCTTTGTTGAGCTTGTCCAAAGAATAAGCCAGCCGCCAAATGGTCGTGGCCACAATGTCAGACCACACTAAATTGGTCCCAAGTAAAAAAAAAAACAACCACAATTGCAAAAATTTGAATTTGACATACCTAATCAACTTGCATATGTAATGCATACATAGGTCATTATCCTCAGCTAGTATGAGAGAGCCATCCATGGGGTCTTTACACTCTAGCAAAATGGCAACATTTGTCAAATACCATACCTGGGACACCAATCCACATCAATCCTTTGGGAAATGGCATACCTGGGACACAGTCTATCTTTTCCTTACCTCAACCCACCTGGCATCCCTAAAAACAAAATATGGGCAAGTATCCACATCAAATATTCGGATGCCCCTGAAAAATAAGAAAAAAATACAGCATCCTAGCACAGTGCTGTACACTAATCACTCAAAGTACAAACAAAAATTTGGCAAAAAATGTCCATAGTATTAGAAAAAAGAGAAATGCACAAAAGAAGAAGACCTACCAATCTCCCCAGTTACAACAGCTTGGGATAGAAATACAATGGGAATCTTTGTGATTCTCATTTCCCAATGTTGGACAATTCGGTCCATCTAATTGCCTCTGTAGCTTCCCCTATTTTAAAAAAATGCAAAGAAAGCCATCACAAAGGCTGTCCAGACAAAAGCCAACTCATATTCTGAGGAGCAGATCATTTCCAAGTGTCACAAAACATCTGGAGAGAACAGGGCAGTCTGTGTCCTAGACTAAATGCCCCTATGATAACCATTCATGGACTGCTTAATTAGAAAATCCTTAGTAATGTCATCAAGTTTGAACAGGAAAGCCAAGCTGGCTAACTTACAATTCATCAAGGACACAGAAATAGTTTTAAAATGCTTTTTTAAAATTCTGACCAATAAAGTACAGATACATTTGTTCTTTTTTCCTAAAAACAAACCCCAACCACACTCAACAAATTATTCTATTCCCAGCCAAACTTTTGATATGTTCCACAAGTGACTATGACAAGGAATTCCATGCTGTTATAAATAACCTGTACAACCCCCATGTAATGACAGTTTCATTTCTGAAACCCCATAAAGCCACAACTAATACAATAGGGATCAGCTTCAACAGGATGGGATGCCAAAGAAGCCATTCTTCTGAGCATTTCCCCTTGCTCCATCAGCCTTGAAAATACATTCTGTAAACTGTTGTCAGTAAACAATTCTAAATTAGATACTGCCTTATTTGTCCAAAGGGATCAATCATTTTAGGACCCCAGAAAAAATCTCCCATACCTTTATTTCATCCCAAAGGTATTTTCCAAGCTTTAACATCAGCAGTGGCTGCTGACAAATGTCTGCAAAAAACATGCCCCATCAGCATTATGCTGCAGACTAACAGTACACCAAAAAATTTAAACATATGCTGCACTGTGGCCAGCATGGTCACATAAATTGCACCCTTAGAGGCCCAATATATGGGAAAGCATCTAGGTAATGGATAATGAAATCAAGTCCAGTGACATCTTTGACAGCCTAATCTTAAAAAAAGGAAACAAAAAAACATTGCAAACAAGAGATTGCACAGCCAATGTGTAAACAGAGGTCAACGAAATATTGGCCTTGCAACTGGCAACCTTCCAAATAAAAACTATGAGTATTCTCTGAAAGCAAGCAAAATGCAGCCTCAGTGTTCATTCGTGCCAGCAGCAAATCCCTACTATACCTACAAACCCATACGGCTGCCTTATCAAAAGATGTACACAAGAGAGCTCTTGTATTAATCTTCCTCCTACAACTGACCACTGGACACCTTCCTTTTATACCTCAATTAGGGCACTACAGTACACCAGAGGACTTCTGGATGTGTCTGTTTTGCCCCTCCTCCTTTATCACAAATGTTCTTTCCCCCCACAGTTCAAGCCATATAGATTATGAATCACACACAGATTGATCAATCTGTTAGCCCAATCTATTCTATGTTTCCTCTTCTCTCCTTTTCTTTCTTTCCTACTTTTTCCTTCTTTTTCTCCTCTTAAATACCCTCGCCTTCCCCTTTACATACAAACCATATTTTTTGGATTCCAGTATGTATTTTCAATGGGTTTATTACACCCCATAGTCCACTCTCTTGGTAGCATTGACAGAACACATCACTGGTCTCCAGGTCAATATATATGTCACTTACCATCACTTTTAATATGTGTCACCTTTATGATTTCTGTTGGCTATGGATTTGAATGTTAACACATGATGTACTGGAACCTTTACTTGATACTTTTGTGTTTTACGCTTTCTTATTGGAATTCTGTTTAATTTTAATTTCAACAAATACATATTCAACCTAAAAGATGTGCACAAATTCAGATCAATAGCATTATTCTCTGTATCTTTCATTGGGTAAGACAAATGGTGGGTGACCCAGAACATCTTCTCCAAAACCATATCCAGAAGAAAAATAACTACATTTTGCAATGAAGGAGATTCATATGGGCTGGCCATCCATACCAATGCTACATCCTTCAGTAGTTCTTCAAAACAAACCTCAGGATACAGGCAAGCAACTTTCAAATTGTTAGCCTTGGGAGAAATGAACTAGGGTTGGCAAGAGATCTGAAATCCTCTCAAAAAACATTCCAGTAAGGCTTTGTAGTCTCCCTATTATCATACCTATTCAGAAACTCTAAATTACTTTTGCACCCTCACTTGTTTCTTTAGTTTTTCCAACGCTGTCTGATTTTTTCTTTCTGTGAATAAAACACTAAGACCAGGAGTGTGAACTACTGCAACTCGGACACTGCAAGTTCCTTGACTGAACTGCCAACAGTACTTGTGTTTTAAGCCTGGTTGTGAGGTGGTCACAGTATTCCCTGTGTCAGGAATGGACTCAGCACTGGTGGTGGGACTCCCCTGCCGTGTGGGCTGCAGTACCAGAGCTGACCAGCGGGTGCTCTCAGCACTGGTGGTGGGACTCGCCTGCCGTGTGGGCTGCAGTACCAGAGCTGACCAGCGGGTGCTGATGAATAATCAAAGAGTAACTGATGCAGTCACCATTTGGCCAACAATTTTCAATCCAGCTCCTTTGACAAAAGATTATGTTTAGCTGGGTGGTGGTGGCAGGGCCACCTACATAAAACAAAATTGGCCGATTTAGCAAGAATTGTCTGAAAACTTGAGCAGCGTATGGCCAACATTAGTGTACAGCAGAATTAATAGACAGAGAGTAAAGAATGTTAGTGGCATCTTTTACTCATTTAGTTGTATCCTCTATTCTGCAGCTATTGTGCTCTGTAACCAACAGACCTTTTCAGCAAAGTAGTTAAAGTGGATTTCCAGGTATGGATTTTTTATACATAGTTACATCGGTTCAGCTTGGACCAATGTAACTATGCATATACCATACCTGGCTGATGTCCCTGGAAGCTTTAAATCATTGAACAAGACACCTCTTGTTCACTGAAGAAGACACCTCTCTACTGATTGCCACTTTCCATGCTAAGCAGCTGCCCTGCTGCACTGTGAACACTGGAGGTTGGAAGCTCACCATGGGCATCATAAAAGCAAAATGGCCTCTGATTGGATGAGGTGGAGAGCATGACATCATCGTCAGGAATGGACTCAGCACTGGTGGTGGAACTCACCTGCCGTGTGGGCTGCTGTACCAGAGCTGACCAGCGGGTGCTCTTAGCAGCCAGAAGCTCACAATCAGCCAAACCTGGGGCTGATTACAGAAAGGTGTATATAAGGCATGACCAGGTCTGTGCTCTGGGCCTTGGTGTATGTTTTCCCATGAGCCTCTGTACCTGTATTCCTGCTTCGTTGCTGACCCGGCTTGATCCTGATCTCTGTTGACCGTCTCCTGTTCTGACTACTGGCTCATCCCTGACTATTCTTCTGCCTACTCCTATGCTGTTTGACCTCCTGTTGCTGTACCTTGGCTTGTGACCCGTTTACTCTTTGCCTGCTGCTCTGTACTGATCTGCTTCCACCGTTACCGACCCGGCTTGTCTGACCACGCTAACTACTCTGCCATCCATCCATCCTGCACGGATCCAGCCGTACCTGCACATACCTCTGGCGGATCCCTCTACCACTAGCAGGGGTACTCAGGGGCCGCGACCTGGTCTCAGTCCTGCGCCAAGTCCATCCCCACCATCAGGGGCTCTGGTGAAAAGGCAGACTGGGGCTTAGACTCCGCGCCCTGGGGAATCCTGCCCTGAGGACCGCTAGTGGTACCACCAAACGGTCATTACAGAACCCTACGGCCGGCCTGACCGTTCCACCTCTCCAGCCCTGACTACGCCTGTGTTCCTGCACCTCCTAAAGATTAGTGGAAGGTTGGTTTGCTCACTGTGCGTTTATATAGATATATATCTGGGTGGCTAATAATAACCTGTATTATATTGTACCTGAGACCTGCGTTTCCCTGTGCCAGTCCACACCTTTCTGGTCATTCCTTGATTCCTGACATCACACTAAGGCCCAGAGCACAGACCTGGTCATGCCTTATATACACCTTTCTGTAATCAGCCCCAGGTTTGGCTGATTGTGAGCTTCTGGCTGCTAAGAGCACCCGCTGGTCAGCTCTGGTACTGCAGCCCACACGGCAGGTGAGTTCCACCACCAGTGCTGAGAGCACCCGCTGGTCAGCTCTGGTACTGCAGCCCACACGGCAGGGGAGTCCCCACCACCAGTGCTGAGTCCATTCCTGACACCCTGCTTCACCATGAAAGGACCATATGTTACCCTGGGCTACAGGCATTCCCTTATCCAAAACAATGAACAATGTTCAGGGGAATTTTCCCTCACTGGTCAAGATTGTAAAGGCCTTAAGCCAGTTTGCAAATGTAAGGAGTATTAAACAATAATGTCATTTTTCTTCCTCTTCCTTTTCACTTTCATCCAATTTGACCTTATTTAGGTTAAACTTTTGCAACAGCAGTAAGGATGCACCATTCCATATTCACTTTTTTACATTTGCTTCAGATGGGCCCTCAGTGCATAAGTACAACTCAAATTTAGCCAGATAAGCTAATAAAATCTTATTGCCTTCTTTAGCCACTATTTTGGCTTTGAACCCTACACCAGTTGTGCCAGCTTGTAGAGCTGTTGCTAGATTAGGACCACTCAAACAACCCATCTATGGGTGGTGGGATCAGCAAACCTGTGGGTCACAGATGCTGGTCTACTGTAAGATACAGTCTCTAACCTAGAGAGTACTTAGTCCAAAAGGCCATTCAAGCTGCCGCTGAAGAGGATGCTAAAATTGTAGTAATCCTAGACTTACAATGCATTGAAACATTCCTCAATCCAGCAACTAATCTCTGAACTATAGCCACTGTAGCCAGCACTAGCCACCCCATCTTAACTGCTGTAACAGAAGATGATGTGGACAGATTAGCCCCCAAAAGATTCAGTCCCCACACTAATAGAAAACTGACCTCGGTCCATCCAGCTACACAGCCACTTCTTTGGACCCCTGCATTGAAAGCCCTTCCTTAGGAACCCTTTCTCCCTCTTCAGAGCTGCTAAGCTCCTCTTCTGCTCTCTTATGTAGAAGCAGTAGTGCCCCTGTGTAGAGACTTTTAGTCTCAGCAGTAATACATGCTGGACATGAACTAATGTTATCGGTGGCCACAACACTGGATCTCTTGCCATTTCCAATCCACCATCCCACATTGTGCACTCTGTGACTCTGTCCAGCTGGCAGATGCTGCAATCAGGTCCTAGGAGGAGATGATATAAGGGGTTGAATCTGACCTCTGCTTTTCCTAGGAAGGGCCCTGGCCACAACAGTGGACTGGACAGCACCCAACGGAACGGAAACTAACTTTTGCCAAGACACACTACCAACAGGGTGAGTATCTGCAGAGATGGCAGCAGGGTCCAGGGACATAGCAAGCTGGGCCTGGGAGTGTGTGGCAGCAGCTTTACTCCTGCCTGGCTTTCACCTAGGATGGGAATTCCTCCTTGCCCTGATACCAGAAGAAGCAGGTGTTTGCTTAGATGGTGGAGCAAGAGGGTCCCTTGCAGGGGCTTCCAGAGTAGCAAGGAGGTATTACATCAGGGCTAAGGATCTCAGGAGGCCTAGACCTCATTGAATGTACAGTATGGGCTAGTGAAGAAGGTACTTGCAAGAGCCCTGAAGCACATCTGAAAGCTTGGCCTGAAGCTATTGGGGGCCATTCTTGAAGGCCATTCACCATTGCTACCCATACATGGTTGCTGTTTTGTCACAGCTGGGGAATCTCATCCAAGGCTGGAAAAACGTAACTAATCATCAGACAAGAAGTGCCCTCCTCCCAGTACTCCAGGACACAAATTCCAAAACCCCCACCACTCCAATCGGGTAAATGTGATTTTTTTTTTTTAAACCTAAACATTTTAACCTTGTCCTGACCTAGCCTTTCCTGCAAGCCTCAGCCATGTCAGCTTTAAATTTACTTGCACTTTGAGCTCCAGACCTAATTTTGAACATACAATAGAGGTTATAGAGTGACAACAGAGTGAAGCAGTGTGAAGTAATGAATTAAGAGTGGATCTGTAGGCAGTAATGCAGGTAGTGGTATGCAATATACAACATACAGCACAGTGTACAAAGCAGTACAATGTGGAGTATATATCACTCAGTGTAGAGGGTGTGTATGGTAAAAAAATGTACAGTACACTTCGAGAAGCAGAATGGTTTTTAGTATTAGATTTAAAGCACAGAGTATATAAATTACACTGTGGCCCATCTAGTGTATAGAGGAGTGGTGTGAAGTGCAAAATGTGCTGCTTGGGGGAAGAGTGGGGAAGTTTGGAGATTAAGATATAAAATAAGCAAAGGAGAGGGCGAGAGGTGTAAGAAGATGTGCACAGATGAGAAGGGTGGGAGGCCTGACTAGCTTCAAACTGAGGAGAAATTTCATTAGGGGAGAGATCTGAGAAGCAGCGCGTAGAAGAGAAGGTTCAGAGGTCTGCTGAATCACACAAAGAAGAAAGGGGTGAGGGGGTTCTAGGAATTGCACACATAAATAAGGAGTGAGCGGTCCCAGAGGAGGATGAGAGGTGTAAGAAGGTGCAGAAAAGAGAGGGATGAGAACTCAAAAGTGTAGCCCACTTTTCCATCTCAGGGAACTACTGCTGAAAATTACTATTTCTACAGCTCATGATACATCAGAGTGATGGCTTGTGGGAAGAACTCCATGCATTTAGGGTCACTGGGAAGAATTACCCCTTACAAAAAGCTACAAATATCAATGGAGTCAGTGGGAACTTATCTGAGAGGCAGAAATTGCTAATTGCTCAAGGAACCCTTAGCAACCTCTGAAGGAGCCTTTGGGTTCCATAGACCCCTTATAGAAAAACCCTGGGTTAAAGTTTTGAGGGGGCCAAACTTAGAGGAAAGAGGTGAAAAGTCTAAACAGCCATACACAGAGGAGAGGCGTAAGAGGCATGAGAAGTCACACAGAGGAGAGGAATAAAAGGCTTAAGGGTTCAAATACAAAGGAGAGGGGTGAAAGGTCCCAGGACCTGCTCTCAGAGTAGAAGGGTGTGAGGTCCCAGAAGTTTCACTCAGAAGAAAGGGATGAGAGGTCTCAGGAGATATGTTGGGGATCAGTTGGTGGCATATGTTCTCCTGGGAGTAGGCCTAGATTCAGTAGAGTAGACTCTGCATGCAGGGGGGCAAATCTTACAGGTGGAACCTGCTCCTTATAACTAAAGTCGGGCTTGTGGCAAAATCTTCCACCAGCAAAACAAGAATTTGGCTTTAAATTAAATACAATGGGATGGAGCAGACGAGAGGATGAGAAAGGTTATGATGATAATAGATGCACTCTAATACTTCTTTTCTCTCTGACTTTAAATGAAAAAAGGCTGCTTTGCAGAAGAATGACTTGGAGATGACATTTTATCTGACACTACTTTGCACATATATAGTTTATTTAGCTTTGTGCTTATATTTTTTCTTTGTCACATAGAAATCGGTCGAGCTAAATATTGCAAGTATTTTAATTTAAAATCCATTAGCATTCCACATAATTAATTAGACGTTTACACTTCAGTGGTTTTGGTTTCCCTCAAGAAAACGCGGCACACAAAGTATAATTTGATTTAATTTCTGGTCTACATTTAATCTACCTGAAACAATATTATACCTTGGGGAATGAATTAACATCTTAGAATTGTACAGTTTCCATATTAATGCCCAAAACAAAGATAGTATTTACTGCAGATGTTCTAACATTACTGGTATTATAAAGCTTACAAATTACATTGACCTAGAGGGCGACTTGTAAGGGTGCTAGAAAGCAGATGTAACAATTCATAAAAAGAGGAGGTAAAAGATGACATATACCATTAGGATACAGAGTAAGGCTGTGAGTACATTAAATTATGCGATATTTAATTCAAGTTACTCGAGGAGTTTATGCATACCTCCCAAATTTCTAAAATGAGAAAGAGGGACACAATTTTAGCATAAATTATGCTGGAAAAAGACACACCACTGCCATGCCCACAGTTACCATAAATAATTAATATGCAAAAAATGATTGGTTGAACCTACAAATGCTTATTTACTTCTTTTCATAACTACTTTTCTTTTACTCTGGTTTTTCAGTATCACAAATGCAATACTTTCAAGATTTTAGTGGACTATAAGACTTTGGAACTAAAGGCAAAACTATTTTTGTAATTTTAATAATATGAGAGTTTGGCACTTTTGTGAAGTTTTTATATTGCTGTCTGGGTCCCTGCTAAGTTTGTCCTGATTACCATTGTTATTGGAAATCCAACATTTTAGAGTTGTTGCTAGAACAATGGGGACACCAGTTCAGATGACAACTGTC